TCTACGGGCGTTACAGTTGGACTTCCTTCAAAATTTGGCTTTGAACGCACATTAAGTATAGAGGCTTCTTGAATAGGTTCTTGAAAATCAACACTTTCAGCTTTGGAAAACTTCAGAGATAATTACAGAGAGACCAATTCTTCTGGATCACTTCAGCAGGTTCATAGATAGCAGCAAATTGATTGAGGAGGCTTCAATGCAATTTGACACATAACTTCAAATGCAGCTTCACCTTGCTTCTGGGATTGAAAGGTTATGTGTTGAAAAAAAACTTCACTTCTTGTACCTTCAAATGAATATTCTTTGTCGATCACAGATGCGTCTTAAAAAGTAACCATGACTAAAAAGTCCCTATGGATCATAGAGTCATAAAGACCCTTCTCACCACAGTTGTTTAAGGACCCAGGCATGGCTTAGATGGAGACCACTCGCAGTATCTGATTAAACACGGAGTAACGCACTGCGATTTCTTGAGTATCGGAGAACTAATCATGGCTATTTTTGATGTTATCCCCAGCATATCCTCTATGAAAGATCTCAATACAGTTTTTCAAGTTAACAAGTTAACTTGGCCCTTGGTGAGCTGTTCAATGGTTTCTGAATCTCAGCTTAGTGTACCATTCTAGTGCATGTGAGAGTTAATTAGGAATAACTCACAAAACCATCCTGTGACAAAAATATTTGAAGACAAAATTTTCACAGTTTAGCATGACACGAGGTCAAGGCCCTGTGGCTGGACATTCAGCGATAATCGTGCCTTGTGTGGTGCATCGCCCTAGTGCCAATAACCGTTAATTCCTTACCTACGAAGAATGTATCCGAGAATACTTTTGTGTCTCCACAGTTTTGCATGAAAAAAAGAATGTCAAGATCCTGGGGGATGTTCAGCGATATCTATTTCCCGGTTGGGTGAATCGCCCTGTGCCATGACAGTTCTTAGGTAAAGATAACTGACAAGACCAATTTTGACAATCTGTACAGTTTCAAACTTTCAATTCCTTAAATACGATCATTCTTAGAAATATATTGTCTACTGATAGTTTATACAGTTTCATGCCTTCAATTTCTTGAATACGACAGTTCTTAGAGAGAAACTGCCTAACTGACAATTTATACGGTTTCATGTCTTCAATTCCTTGTGAAAGTAGTGTGAAGTGTAATTCCGTCAATTCCTTTCAAGATCTCTTCTTGCACAGAAAATTCCAACACAGTCTCCTTGAGTCTCTTCTTCTTTTGAATTCGCGTTTTAAGACAAATGAAAACAGAAATAAAATAAATAAAATAAACATATTTTTGGAAATTTTGAATTTTATGATTTTTGTTTGGTTTTAGTTCTCCCCCTAAATTTGTGCATAGAGGAGAAAGAGAGAAAAAGTTATGAACAAATTTAAATAAAACAAAAAATAAAATACAAAATGTACAAAAAATTTCAGTCAGTCTTCAAAACGAATCATTTTAAGAAAACTCACAAGCACATCAAAACGAGCTTGTCCAAAAGGTTTTGTAAATAAATCGACCACATTATTTATCAGTGTGGATTTGTTCCAAATGAACAAGTTTACGCTCAAAACAATCTCGTATAAAATGAACTTTAATATATGTGTGCTTGGTTTTAGAATGCTGAACTGGATTTTTAACTATTTGAATAGCAGCATCATTATCACAGAAGATAAGAGTGTCAAGAAAATTCAAACCATAATCCAGCAGTTGATATTATATCCAGATGACCTGAGAACAGCAAGCATACACAACAACGTATTCAGCCTCATTTGTCGAAGTGGACACAGTTTGTTGTTTCTTGCACTGCCATGAGATTAGTCTGTCTCCCGAGAATTGACAACAAACACTTGTAGATTTCCTGTCAATGTTACAACCTCATTAGTTGCTGTCAACAAAAGCACAAAGATCAAATTCATGATTTTTAGGATACCATAGACCCAATTTAGGACTCCATTTAAGGTACCTAAAAATTCATTTGACAGCAATTAAATGAGAAAGTTTAGGATTAGCCTGATGGCGCGCGCATTGACAGACTGCAAAGAGTATATAAGGTCTGCTAGCGGTTAGATACATCAGAGAACCAATCATGGATCGATATAGAGTTTGATCAACAGATTCTCCATCCGGATCTGATGTCAACAGTGGTCGTTCAGTCGTGTGAGTAAAAGCATTTTTAGCATCCTTGAACCCGAATTTCTCCAACATGTCATCAACATATTTTACTTGATGCAGTAGAATACCCGAAGAATCCTAACGCACTTGTAATCCTAGAAACATCGTCGTTTCGCCTAGAGAACTCATCTCAAATCTCATCTCCATGACCTTTTCAAAATCTTTGCATCATTCATCATTTGTTGACCCAAAAACGATATCATCCATGTAGATTTGAACAACAATAAGGTCCTTCTTCACTTTTTTGATGAACAACGTCTGATCAATCGTGCCTCTTGTGTACCCATGATTTAATAGATGTTCGGTCAAAGTGGCATACCAAGCTCAAGGGGCTTAATGAAGACCATAAAGTGCCTTGTCCAGCTTGTACACATGATTTGGAAATTTTGAGTTGACAAAACCTGGTGGTTGATCAACGTAGATTTCGTCTTTTACTTCTCCGTACAAGAAGGCAGTTTTAACATCCATATGATATACAGTGAAACCCATGTAGGAGGCGTATGCTAAGAAGATACGAATTGCTTCCAGTCGAGCCACGGGAGCATATACCTCTATATAATGAAGACCTTCTATTTGCTTGAAACCACAAACAACTAAACGCGCTTTGTTTCGCACAATCACCCCACTATCATCTTGCTTATTGCGAAAAACCCATCTTGTGTCAAGAGACTTCTTTCCTATATGAAGTTCTACCAGTTTCCAAACCTTCAGCTTCTCAAATTGATTCGGCTCTTCATACATTGCATCCACCCAACTTGGTTCATTAAGAGCCATCTCAACGTTATTTGGCTCGATTTGGGATATGAAGCATGAATATAGACATTCGTTAACATATCCGCTCTGGCTTCTAGTTTTGACTCCATCCGCCAGGGAACCTATAACATTTTCGATGGGATGGTTGTGCTGAACCCTTGAAGAAATCTCATGATCCACCGCTTGTGAAGGGACTGGAAGATTCATGATGTTCTCCACCCTGCTTGTGGCTGAATCACTTTTTATCCGATGAACGGAAGTCGTATGAAGTACTTGCCACATACTCATCAGGAATTCTCTCAGGAAAGAGAAAATCCATAAAAGTATAATCAAAGGATTCTGCAGAATCAGAGATGACATTTTCAGTAGAGATGACATTTTCTTCTAGAACTAGTGAATCGTCAGCCTTTTCTGGAGATTTGGCAGGTGTGTCTTCATTTACTGGTAGAGGATCCGAAGTCCCATCATTCAAGCTTGTATTTTCATCCTGTAGTATCAATGGCTTGATAGGTTCAACAAATGATCACTTCTTCTTCATCATCCCTACTTGATCCACACGAGTTTGGAAGGGTACCTGAAACATTATCAAAAAATACATAAAATGGTTTAACCAATTCAGCATAATCAAATAACCAATCAGGGCCGAATCGAGCATCTGTCTCATTTTCTTCTAGCCAGCGGACATCAAAGGACTCTACGATCTGCTTGGTAGCTTTATTGTAGACCCGATAAGCAGTGCATCCAGCATACCCGATGAAGTAGCTGTCATCAGCCTTTGAATTGAACTTTTGAGTGATTTCAAGATGAAGAAGAGTGCATGGGCAGCCAAAAGTGCGGAAAAAAAATCCCAAACAGCCATAGTCGATTTCTCTCCCAAATTTCTTCAAGTTTTTCTGCAAAAACCTACTCATTCATTGTTTTGTTGCATATTGTTTGGTGAATTAGGTATTGTTTGGGTTTTTGATTATGGCAATGGCATTTAAGTTGTTTTTGGTGTACTCGGTTTCACTGATTTGCAGGTTTTCAAGTGGATTTCTCATGGTTTTCGAAGAACTAAGTTGGAACAGGTTCCGATGAGATTTTGGGTTTTCGGTTCAACTCGGATTCGACCGAAATCAGATGAAGATCTGACCGAAAACTGGGTTCTCGGCCGAAATCAACCAGCATTGACCAAAATCATCTAGTCAACTAGTGATTTTGAATGAAATCGATCATCTTTGACCGAAATCGACTGAAATCTTGACTTTAACCGAAAACGATTGAAACTTTGTTTTTGACCAAAATCGACTAAAATTTTGACTTTAACCGAAATCAGATTTGAGACTCAATTTAATTAATTGTAAATTAATTCTCACTTGGCTACTTTGGTGCAGATAAATGACAGAGCAACTAAAATTTGTATACTCTCACAACATTGTTGGATATCTCATGGATCCACCTGCTTCTCATCATGAATTCAAATCCATGATGGTGGGTTTGAACAACTGCAGGATTTCTCAAGACCTTTGTGTCAAGCTAGTCATCCATAGAGACCTGATCACATATTTCTGGAAAAATGTTTCGATCAACAAGCTTGGAGCAAATGGAGCTGGTATAGTGGAATCATTGGTGAAAGGAACTCAAGTGATAGTCTCTGAACAATTTATCCAAGAGGTGCTTAAATTTGGTGATGCTTCTGCATTCCCAATCAAGTACTCTGCTAATCGCGTCAAGGAAGTTCTAGAGAAAATGTGTTATGAAGCAACCTATCCTCCCACTATAAGGAAGCTACTGCCACCTCACTAGAGGTTCTTGGCACACTCCTTTGTGATTTGCATATCCGGAAGAAAGGGAGGCTCTGATGAAATTAGTCAGACTGTGACCTTAGCCATTGTTGCTCTGGCTATGGACTGGGATTACAACTTCTCAAAGTTCGTTTTTGAAGAGATGAAGAGAAACCTTCTGGGAAAGAAAAAAGACATATTTTTGATGTACCTAGATTCCTTCAAATGATCTTTAATGAAAAATATCCCAAAATCGAAAGGTCATCTGATACTTTGGATATGAAAGCTTTGGGTCCTAACACTTTTGGACTCATGAAGCAATCGAGAAAGGTTGCCAAAGTTGCTTATCAAGGGTTAAGCGAGTTAGTTAAATTTGGAAAGTTTATTGAGGTTCAAGACACTCCTGTTGGTAGTTTAATAAATGTTGAGGCTGTCGACGAACACGTGGCTCCCAGACCAAAGTTCCAATTCGCCTTTGAAGAGATTGAAGTATCAGATGTTGAAGAAGATCAAGAGGATCAAGAAAATGAATTGTCAGAAAATGAGTTTGAAATTTTTATTCAGCAAAGTATCTCAATCCCAGAAGAGGATGTAGCTGTCACACCTCCGATCGTAACTGAAAGGGAAAGTGACACAATGGTGCAATCTTCCTCACCGACCCCTGAACCGATGGATGCTCTTATAACTAAACTTCAGCGAACTACAAGGAAACCTCCCCAAATATTTCTTGTTGATACTGAACCTCCATCTGAAAGTGATCCAGAAGACTCCACCCACGCTTTACTCCCAAGGAAGCGAAAGAGAAGAGATCCAAGGCCAGGAGTGCTTATCACAGACCCAGTTCACAAGAAATCTACATCGATTGAGCTCGGTTCTATGGCTCAAAACATACAAAGCCCATTCACTGAGACCTCTCCAGTGATTCAATACATTCCAAACCCAATCCTTGAGCCTATTACTGTGGATCAGGATTTTCAAAGCCCGATTGTTGAAGAAGAAGTCATACCTTCAGAAGAAGCTCAAGCTTCAGGAAGCTCTTTTGAAATACCTGAGCTGGACATCTCCAAAGGCAAATGAAAATTGCCTGAATCTGAATTAGTTGATGTGGTTCTACTTCAGAACAAAGTCTTTGATCTGGAACAAAGCTATGCTGAGAAAGATTTGATAATTGGAAAGTAGGACTTTCGAATCAGCGAGCTTGAGAACTAGAACTCCAATAAAGATTCAAAGATCTCAGAACTTCAAGCAAATCTCAATGGTCTAACTGCTCTATTCTTTGAACTAAAACAACGTCTATTTCAAAAGTTTGGTGATGAATTTCAACCTTTAAGTGCCGAAGGAGAAAATATCACTGCTTCTAGTTTAGGTCCCGCCAATCCAGCTTCTCAATCTTCAAGTGAAAGAGCTACAAGACCTGCTCCAGATGCTAGTCTTGATACATTCTTATCTTCAGGTCCTGCTTCTGCTCAAGAAAGAAGAGAGAAGCAAATTAGGGTTGAGCAGCTGAAAGGGAAAATGCTCGTGATGAAGCATTCAGATCAAAATGCTCCATGTGATCACCCTGAAATGTTTTTTCAGTGAAACTGGGAAGAAGTTCACTGATAAATATGGTGATCGTTCTGGCATCATCATGTGGGGATATGATGCTGATAAAAGGATGTGAGTCGTGAAGCGGAATAGTGGAAGAATTGAATATTATGAGAAGAAAGTTGAGTTCTTGCCCTGGACAAAAGTTGATCTTTTTGAACTCATCCACGCACCTTTTCACAATCCAACCAATGATACCATGGTCTGGTCCTTTAAGAATTTTCTTAAGATTAAAGTGAAAAATAACTTTGAAGGGTTAAAGACTGCTTCATCGTTTACTAAGAAGGCCAAGGGTGTTATTGATCCTCGCACAAACAAAACAATGGTGAATGCATGTGGCCACCCACAAAGCAAGCCAAAATGATTCCTCTTCCCAAGCGCTTACTTGAAGGTACTTTGGATACAATGCAATGTTGGGTTTATGATGAGGCTACTGCAACTGTGGTGATCAAGTTGAAGAAAAACCAGTTTCGTATTGTTGATCCCAAAGATTTGTTAAGTTTGGAGAACGTGATATCTGCACTTTATCAAACTTTCATATTATTGTAGAGAATGAATTATTTGAAATTTCTGCGAAAGCTTTCACCGGTATGGTAGCTACAATTATTGACAAGAAGCTGTGGGCAGGGGCTTTTGACCGAGCAGACGTGCATCTCGTAGAGAAACCTTGAAGAGAACAGAAAGCAATAAACAATGGGGGAGATTGTTCGGCTATATTAAGTGGTTTATGCTTTGTTTTGAATATATTATGTTGTTCTCGGTGGGCTTATTATGTCTGGGCATTAGGTTATCGGTTTAGTATATATATGGTTTGTGTATAGTCTTTTAAGGCGAATGGTGAATTCTGGTGATTCACGGCTGAAGAGTGATTAAATGTACTTGACAATTATCAATAGAATTGTGTGCATTCATGTTATTGAAACATGTTCTTGATATATTGAATTGATTGTTTCGCATCACTGTTTGATTAAGATTCTGCATTAAATCAAACTATTGCATTGCGACCTTGATACATCCGAGTTCAGGGACTTACAACATGCCGACCAGTCAATTTGGCCATAGCTTCACGCCAACCAGCCGTATTCCAATATCATGCATTCACCATATCCTTCACCAAGTTAATCTTCGTCTCCTAGATGGCTTCGTCGACGCTGATTTTAACCTCAACAATCACCTTCTTGATCTCCAAGGCATGCTCTAGGAGGATGTCTTCACCTTATTGGCCAAGAGGTGACCGCTAGACATGGCCTCATCAAGTTCCGAAAGGGAGAAGCGAGCACTAGAATGTGTAGCCTTAGATCCTAAAAATTGCAAATAACCCTCATCACTTCGAGATCCTCGAAATGAAAAAAGTAAAAAAGAAGGATCCTTACTGGTAGACATTAGAGTAGTGGTGGAAGAACCCTCTTGGAAGCTGGAATGGTCAAAATTGCAAGATCTTTCAACCACAGGAAAAGCGAGAAATCTTTCAATCTTCTCATGAGTATCTTCAGCAGCTCGAACAACTTCCTCGAACTTGAAAGTTGCGTCAAAACAAACAAAACAAGGAAGTGTGAATTTCGGGATCCTTATCATAATTTAATAAAAATCCTACCCTTTTTAACCCATTTTATTAGCAGGAGATCTTCGTTGGATAAAGTTGTCTTTCACAAGGAAAAACCTTTCTTTCCAGGAACCATCTTTTTGTATTCAAAAGTAAATGTGATTTGTTGGTTTTGACTTTGAGAACGAAATGAGAAGATCCAAAAGTTTGAAGATCATAAACATTGGCCAATTCAGCTAACACCATGTCAATATTTTTAGACTGGTTCATCTGATCGATCCGAAAAAACAATCCTCCAGATCACAGGCATAATTTGAGCATAAGAAATTTTTATAACTTCGAAAAACTCATAGACGATGCCATAAAAAGGTTATGTCAATCCTAAGGAGAAAGGATATTCAGGAAAACAAACCCAAGTAGGAAAGATGAATCCAGGTTTGGCCTTAGCATCAAAAGGCTTGAAAATGATATCGGCAGGAAAAGCTCCGATCGATTTCAAGGACTCAGTGTCATTATCATCAAAACAACAAGTACCCTCGTAAGACATGATCTTTTGATCGACGAAGTTCTCTTCGGGAATAATAAGGATGCTCGAGCGAGAACGGAGTACCTTTTTACCCATGATCATCAAGCAAGAAAAATGAGAAGAAAGGAACAAGAAATTTACCTTTAAGATAACCGATAACGCTTGAAAGAGAGCTAAAAGAAGATCAATAACCATCAGACCCTATTAATGCGGATTGTAGAGGATAAAGAAAAGATTTGACAACATACACATATCCTTTAAACAGATACAATTCTCCCCGTTAGAGTTTGAATTTCAAATCCTTTATTTCCAATAAATTAAATTGTACATTTTAAATACATGAAATTAATTCAAATATTTCGTAGGCATAATTGTGGGCAATTGTTAGGGCCAAGATCCTCAATCCTATCTAGGATCCCGGATCTCAAAGATATCTAAGGATCCTTAAACCTATCGAGGATCACGGATCTTAAAGGAGTCTTAGGATCCCGAACATACATCAGGATCCTGAACATCGCCATTATTATTTCCTAACAGGTTTATCGGCTATATTTCTTGTTTATTTCTCACATGTGCAGAAATGGTCAACATAAGACTCATTATCAACGAGGAAACGTTCCAACCAAGCTTAAAACCTGGGAATATCAAGTCAAAGCACGTTGCAAATACCAGTTTAACAAGATCCCAGAAATATCATACTTTTAGTTACTTAACCTAAACTATAAATATATCTGTAAATGACATACAATGGGTATAATCTTCATACACCTTAGATAACTTAAGCTACTGAGACACTTATATATTTGTATCTTCCTCACTTTTTCAGTAATTTTCATCCAAATCAATAAAATCAAACAAGGTAGGTGATTATTATCACCTCCCAAGGTGATTATTATCACTTTTTCAGTAATTTTCATCCAAATCAAGGGCTTTCCTTTGTGCAACATTGTTCTAATTTTGTTAATCACTTCAACCACAACACCACAGCCTCTCATGTAATTTAGTTGATTTCCATTTGGTTGATTTTTTTACCAAAACACATCTCACGGTTGATTTAAGTTGATATTAGAATAAGATGAATTCATGACATTGCTACTATTATCATCATTGTCTGATAATTGGTTCGGTATAGTGACATCAGTCAGCAGCTCAACTGGAGGTGCTAAGATGACATTCGAAAGCATTCGTGATTTAATCATTGGTGAGGATGTGCACAGAAGGAGTGTCAGAGAAGCTTCCAGTAGTCTTCTGATTAATGAAAACGGAGGAAGATATCAAACATGGGGGTGGTGTAGTGGAAGATTGAAATCGAGAAAGGAGTCAACAACAGGAAGGACATGACCTGTTGTAACTACAAAGAGAGTGGCTATGTCAAAAATTACTACCTGAAGCTCATGGAAGATAAAGGCCAAAAGAAGGTGAATATAACATCTGATTTTGAAGGTGACATCCTCATCGGTATGAATTTATAAACCAAAATTAATATCATACAATAATATTGTTTTTTTTATGCTAAAACACTTATAATATGTCAAAAATGTTTGGTCTAGGTTCTTACGAAACTGAAAAGTCTTATTTACTTTATTTGTAAAAAATTAAATTATTTACTAATATGCATAAAAATGAGTTTTTACCAATTAAAAAACATAACCGATGCACTTTGTATTAAAATTTGGATGATTTTTAACTTTTGATAATTATAGTTTAGAGAAATTAATTTAGCAGCATTATATTTTAATTTTAGTTTATATTCATATGCCATATTATGTAATTTTACATATTTCAAAAGTTTTCAGCTATTTGTACCGAACACTCTTATACAAATAAAAACTATATATCTTCTAGCGTCCGTCTACAAGCTTCCAACTATTTTAACCGACCACTCCTAGGATCCAACATGTCTTGCAAAAGAGAATGATTTGTCATTGCAACTGCGCTGCAAGCCTCAGTTGTGGAGGCTTTTACAATGTCTATATAATTAATCCGTGTGTTGTTTCATTTTACTCAATGAAAACATATTTAAGTGTTGGTCGTACGTTAGGTAGGGTTGTCTTTAGGGTTGAGCTTCATGTGCCTCTCCCTTTGACATAATAATACATGGATTCGACAACACTCGTGCAGGCCATTGTTATTTCGTCATAGTCTACGTAATAAGCTTGATGGGAATTATAGTATTTAATTTTGATAGAAAAAAAAAATTGAGAGATACTGATTTGGGGTGGGATAGTAGAATTATTACGAAGCATATAGTTTTTCTAATAAAAAAATGGGGATATGTCTTAAATATATATATGATGTGAAAAGAAAGCAATTTGTAAAGCAGATACAATGTTGAAACATGTTGGAGGCAAAGGAGATGAAATTCAACCCAATTGGTTTTGCTTTGCTTTCACATATGCAACATAAGGGCCCATCAAACCC